CCTTCCGTTGTATAGAAGTTGTTTGACCTTGTTTTCGCAACTTGGTCATATTGGTAGGAAGACTAATAGGGACGCACCTTGTCCTGAGTATAAATAATTATTTCCAAAGTCGGACAGTGGACGGAGTACATTCTCAGGCGTTTCGCCTGCATCGTAGTCGGCATTTTCAGTGAGTTTTACCATTTATAGCACCATATTACAATTCGTCAAAGAGACAAGTGAAGCCGATCCTTTGACCAAACCCGTGCTAAACAGTTATGGTATTTCCGATTCTGCCCTGGCCTATTCACATTTTCTATATCCTCCAATCACACCTTCACTATCACAATATTTTACTTGCTTAATTAAATGTAATACGGTGTGCACTTTTTTTAATAGCGGCTTTTATGAAAATCCTCTGCACTCCACGATCGTCTTCACACTAACCCTTATTCTTGTGCTGGGGATGTTCATCAGAGTCTGCAGTCCTCCTTCCTTAGGTCTTATCACAGTCTCTATCTTTCTTCGTAAGATCCGTCTGCCCTCTCCCTGGTTCACATATTTCACTCGACCCCGTTCACCCTATCTGAGCCATCCGAGGCGTTATTGGCCCTATCCTGCGTCTGGGTGACTAATTCGAAGCTAAAGCCTATGAGTAAGTCTAATGGTCAGGCCCTTGGAATATGGACCACGTCTCTTGTAAAACCTATTGTCAGCCCACTAGCTCCCATTGCCGCCGCATCTATCCTGTTCCTATCTCTAATACCAAGTCTATGACTTCCCATGCCCTAGTTTCTTGTGTGCCAACCCACAAATGTTCTGGTACTGATTGCTTTAACTATGTTCAATTTTCCAGAAATTCAACGTTATTTTTAGGGATTTAGAACAACCCCTTCTTCAAGCAATACCGTACTAAACGTATTTAGCTTAAGAAAATATAGGACGCTTTTGCCCTGTTTAGGTAGCCAGTAAGCCCTTGAAACTTAGTAATAAATAAGATTTTCCGAAGTCTCGATATATGGCCTTGACTAGGAAAGGATCATATATGGTATTGATTAATCACCTGTCGTGCTTCAGCAAATTTATACATGCAATATTGAATGACTGAAGCAAGTCATAGGTTTTTCCAGGATTCACTGTTTCAAATTACTATATAAACCTGTAGTGGCATAAAAGGTCAGAGCAAGAAACTATCAGTTACAAAAAAACTCACTAAATAAAGTAAGTCAAGAAATACTGGTGGCCGGTTGCAAGATTACCCGATTCTTATACCTAATTTTGCGATACTAATGAGACATTCCCTAGTTAATTTTTCGTCTATAAGCAGGATTTCAAGACTACTAGTAAATCAGTTATGTAAGATATATCAGCCCTATTCCGTTTGAAGTGATGAAGGACCGGCAGTTGAAATTTCCCGCTATGATGTGAGTAGAGCTAACGCATCCACTTAATTTCAAATAGCCTTGCATTCCTTTGACATGTCATATCATTCTGGGAAAATTCAACTACAACCTTGAATTAAATATGGTAGATAAATAACATATTCCGTGTTTTAGTTGGCTATTTCATAACTACCTTATAGTCTTAGAGATAAGGGAGGTTGATGCACGAAAATAATATGGATGTTTTAACAGTCGTATCATTGCCAAAGTAAACCCGCGTGTGATAATTTAATTGTAACGCTTAATTTGGCGTGGGTTATTGGGTTTTGTGTATATGCAATGTCTAAGTTATGTGGAGTGTGAAATTCATAATCAGACTTGACCATTCAAGCTTCTTAATCTGGCTCAGTGGTTCCTATTTTTCCATTTCTAAATCTCTCTCAATCATATCCAAAAGCTACAATTAGTTCTCGATCAATTTACAAAATTCGTTCCTCCTATTCATAACTTTGGCTATTTTGTTATTTCTATAGAACTCCTAATATTAAATCGTAGATATGAAGACCGAGATAGTGTGGTCTTCTTTTTGATCACAGTCTCCTTTGGCTTCAAGCATCGAACCGATACTGGAAATCACTAATACTAAGGCAGAATACACAGGACTAGGTACGTTCCACAAGGTATCCCTGACGCCTCAACTAATTTGCGAAAACGAGGTCAAACCAACACTCCGAATATTAAGCGTAGTTAAAAGATACCAAAAGCCTACATAAAGCTGCATTTGGGGCAATTTTATTTAATTTTCTTTATTAGTCATGCATTTGGCCAGTTTAGCTCAGGGACCCATTGACCATTACAGGCGGATATCTGTTCAATTAACCTTTTATGTATGGGTCAGCATATCTCAGCCACATAGACATCGTCGCCTCTCTTGTGATGATATTTATTTAGCATCCTGTTAAAAAAGCATTCGAAAGATCTATAAAAAAAGGCATAACATTGGGTAGTGTTGGTTTATGATTATTTCCCAATGTTTCACTACCCTAGTAACCCACCTACCTTTTACGAAGGTTAGCAAGATTTCAACGTTAGGATCAAGAAGAAGGGTCTACTTGCCCGTCCATTTCTAAGTACTTATCCTAATGTTATTTAAAATTACATTAGCATACGTCATTTTAATAATGAGTTGACCCCGTATTCGCAAATCTTTTGTATTTTCACATAGATCTAGCTGGGTGCATCTTGTCTGGAGTCCTCTGTCATTGTATTCATAATGATTTCCTGCGTCTGACTATGAATACGGTACGTTCCCAGACATTTTGCCAGCATCGTAGTCTGCATGGCCATTAAACTGTGACAGTCAGCATCACACTACAAATTTTTCAAGAGACAAGTGAAGTCCATCCTTTTACTAATTGTTTGTTGAACAGTTGAGGTCTCTTCTTTTGTCTTGGTACATCTACCTAGCCCATATTCTCTTACCGCCTCCTCCACTATCAAAATTTCTAACTTGTTTATGTTAGCCTAGTTCAGGTCTGCCTTTTTAGGCGGGGTTAGTGAGGACTGTTCTATCTCCCTATCCCCCTAATGTCCTGAAAATGTTGATCAAATTCAGTCAGGATCTATCAGTCTCGATCTAGCCCAGTAAGATCCGTCTTTTATCGCATTGACCCCGTGATTTTGATCGATCGTTGCCACCATATCTGTGCTACTCGAAGTGTTAAGTCCCATGCGCTGCCCCAAGCCTTCGGCTGCATGTACATTCTTGCCTCATTAAGCAGGTTCCCAAAATCTGGATTCTCAAGCTGGATAACAAGCTAATTTGACAACCAGTTTCCCTTATCACCTGTCGAATGGACTTCTATTCTAATTGACCTAGCACTTCTACTCATAGCTCCAAGCATATGACTTTCCTATTGCCTAATCCCTTTCCTTATTTGCTCATGAGTGCATTTGCTAAAAATATAAGTGGTGATTCCAGAGATAGTCCAAATATCGGCTCATAGATATTATCGCTGAATGTAAAACCTAGTCAAAAAACCAAGATGCAACATTTGGGAATAACACAAAGGATTAGAAAATAGGAAAGTGATAGGCTTGGAAGTATGGATGGAAGCTCTAGGTCAGTGGGAAATGCGTAAAAATTGAATATCGACGCGCTGGCTTACTTAGGAAAGTAAACAGAATCCCCTATAAAGGGCTAAGGGTATAAATTCTGCATTTCCCAAGCACATGGCTATTGCGAAGAATATAAAATTGTTCAAACTACGGCATTCCGCACGCTACGGGAACTTGACATCCAAGAGCAATACCACTACGGACATACGACTGACCGTTCGACCGCCAACCCTACTTCGCAGCCGAGCTGCAATTATGTTGTAACAACAGGACTGATACTCCCAATGTGTCGCATGTGAGACTAATCGGAAAACCGCATCCTTTTGCCACCTTGTGTGTACGTAAGCCAGGTAACATTTCACATTCGACACTACCAACGGGCTAACGACAGGTAGCGAGGGTTGACGTGGTGCATCCGAGCTATAACAACAAACACACCAAATCAATCATCTCAAACTCCTTTTAGCTTGCAAGCATTAGGTGAGTATCCAACGGCCCCCCGCCCTTTTACCGGACCACACACTGGCCGGTGCCTATCGCACTCCCACATGCGCAAGCGCGTATTAGAGCCCACGGCTAGCAATCAGGAGTGAGTAAAGCGGAGAAACACTTATGTCCTCTGTCATCGCCCCTAATGCAGCGCACTTAATCCCCAGCCCTTAATCAATATCACGCTGCCTTCGTAAGACACTAAACTCATGGCCCTCTACGCTAAATTGTATGTAGCGATGAAGGTAGATAAAACTGTCTCGCCTATTAGCAGACATGGCAGCAAATCCCTTGGTAGGAACAAGTGCACGTGAAAGCGCAAGAAAAAACCGGAGGTTGTCAATGAATGTCAAGCTGAGTTTTTGTAACTAAATAGATAGTATTTGAGCAGAGCCCACAAGTACCGTCAAACCCCGACAGTGAAACATTTTCGCGAGTAAATAAACTGGACGAGGTTGACTAAGAGAAAGATTGAAAGAGCAAGAAACATCAATATGTTATGACGACTTTATTTGCACTGAACAGATAATAGAAAACACCTTAACGGAGTAGCATGATACAAAGAAGTAAAGAAAAAGGTGAGGACTGCCCCCTTGAATGAGGTAAAATAGATTAAGTTGATTGGCGTGGAAGCTAAAAGTAAAAAAAAAATTATATTTTGTTAAAGCACAATAAAATAAATGAAATAGGTACCTTCTGATGACGACGTCTTCCCTTTCTATTTTGAACATCGAGTATCTTCTTCCACTTTTCTTTTTCTTCGTCCCCTAGGACGGTAGAGTGCATGTAAAGTGGTCAACAAAAGGAAAAACACGATAAAAACAAACAAAAGGGCGACTTACCCTCTAAAATCCGGAAGCTCAATTCGCAGCCATCATAAATCATGGGTTTATCGCCGAATACTTTTTTAAGTTTATCATACGCACCAGAGGCACCTCTGGGCGACTTCATGCGGATTATTGCTCGAGATTCTGAAGGAATGGCGTCGATCCAATTAATAGGCAACTCAGGGCCAAGCTAAATGCGGTTAAGATAATTAAATATGCCTTGGGAATTATAGAATGAAAAAGAAAATGAACTAACATGCTCAGCCAGCCAAATTTTGAGATTAAGAACAGTGCGACAGGGGCGTGAATCTAAATGATCTGCTTTTCGCTTAGCTCCTGCAACAACTTTCTCGCTAGGTTTGGCAGCATCGGAATTTTCTTCAACTTCTGCTTTTGTATCTTCATTGTGATCGCCCGAGTTTACGCTATCAACCTCGGCTGAAAATTAATGGAGAACTTTACAGATCCAGAATTAAAAGCAGACTGACAGTAAATTTGAGCTAGAGTAAAAAAATATTTTAAACGGTTTTTGGCGAATCAAACTGCGAGAAGTACGTTCGTTACCAGATTCTGATTTGGGAAGACCAGATACTTCGAGGAGAGAATTGGGGACCATGCTAAGTAAGATACGATTATCCGACTTGCTCCTTTTTTCAGCATTTTTTGCATGAATTTCCTTCCTCTTATCCTCGAAGTAATCGCTTCTATAATAAAGGCACAGGTTAAAGGGTGATAACTCCTAGGCAGAAATGGCGAAATACGCACATCCATTTCCTGAGCATAGCCTGATCTTTATAATTGGCAGAATCCGCCGAGTCCAAAAACTTCTGGGCATCTTCTTTATTTTTAAATGAAGCGAACACACTTCCCTATAACATAAAGAAGAAAGCCACCTCACCTTGAATACCTTGTCCTTAGGAAAGCGCCTAAGTTGGACACTAACTGTCTCGCCTCCATACTTCTCCAGATAAGATATGATATCATCCAAAGTTTCATCTTGGGAAAAACCTTTTACGTATACGGTTTGTGCTCGATATATCTCATTTATTTCAGCAGATGACTTAACAAGAACTTTCTTGGGGTTACGTCTTATTGATTTTGTGCCAACTTCGACTAGATCACTTTTCGACTTTTTAAGTGCCTGCAAAATGACCTCA